TCTCTGGTGAATCCTCTCACCGCCCCTGCACCTCTGGCCTGCACCCCAGTTCTGTATGCATAAATAAATAAATCTTAAAAAAAAAAAGAAAAAAACATGAAATAGATTTAAATATATGAAATTCAGAAACCTTCCAGACTATTGCTAGGAGACAAAAGCAAGGTGCAAAACAATACCTGTAAACACAATCTTTAAAAACTGTTAATATATGGGCTAGAAAACAACCTGGGGGAGTATCTGGCAAACTGTTAAGAGGAGAGAACTTCCTGCTTTCTGTTTTATATGAGTATGGGCAGCCTAACCTTTTCACAAGTACAGACTATTTTGGAAAGAAAATAAAGGAAAAAAAAAATAAGTCACTATTAGAGAATCCACATCTAACTCGCCAGAAGGAGAGAACGACTAAAAGGAAGTCTAATATCCTACGCTCGCTCCTTATCCCAATCTGCAAAGTAGCAGGTCTTGGTGAATCACTTGGCCCTTAAAAGGTGGGAGCTTAAGTGATTCAGCTCTTCTGAAAGAAGCAGTCTCTGCGGTGTCCATCTGAGTTAATTGGCAGGCTTCGGCACTTGCAAATCATTTGGTAAAAGCTCTGGCAATTTTAACAGTCTCTCAAAAACCAAACATCTAAAATGCAAATTATAATAAGCTAAGTTGAAGAAAACTAGTGATTTACATTATAAAAGTTTCCTGGGAGAATATCAAGATTTGCCATCACTGTAAATGACAGGGAGTGTGATGCAGGGGAGTCCGGGGGTTAAGACAAGATACTGGGAGAATCCAGCAGAGCTCGGAGACAGCGGGACAGGGGGACAGTGACCCTCCTCGCCATAGATAAGGAAACCAAGTGATGAAACCACTTGCGACAAATTCCCCATGCCTGCATGGGGGAAATATTGATGTCAGCAGCTGACCCCAGCTAGTGCTACCTGCTGTTCATGATCATTGGCGGTTACCGGGCAGTATGTACCTCCAACGTGCCGAGTCACCTGAAGCAACTTCCCAACCACTTTTACCATCCAGAGCGGCCAAAAGGCACCCAAGCA